TGGTACAGAAACAGATGGATAGACCAATGCAACAGAATAGAAAAACCAGAAATCAATCCAAACATCTACAGCCAACTCATATTTGATCAAGGATCCAAAACCAATCCCTGGAGTAAGGAGAGTCTATTCGAGGAAAGGGGGGACTAGAGGCCCCGCCCAGAGTACTCTCCCCCCAACCCCACCCTTGTTCAATCTATCTGCGCATGCGCACCGCTTTCGGCCATTTTGGCTAAAGGCTCGTTCTCTAGAACTTTCCGGCCATACCGGGCCTGCGCACATGTCTCTCCCTTTACTCGGTCTGCACGCTCCTCCCCTGAGCTGTGCTCTGGCCCAGTGCACCTGTGCGCCTCTTCCCACCCTTTGCGTGAGAGTGGTTGCCCATGCACTGGCTTGGTCTCCAGCAGGGAACGAGATGTTTTTCTCAGCTTTGTGCGTGAACTACATTGTTCTCTGTATCTAGCTGCTTTTGGTATACAGTTTCAAGTCGCCTGTGGACTTTTTAAACATATTTTTTTAAAAAACGGTTATTTGAAAGGGAGAGTTACAGAGAGGGAAAGGCAGAGACATGTAGACTTTATTTTTTTTTAAATATTTGTTTATTTAAAAGGCAGAGAGGAGTCTTCCACCTGTTGGTTCACTGCCCAAATACTAGCTGCCAAAGCCAGGAGCCCAGAACTGGATTCTGGTCTCCTGTGTGGGTGGCGGGAAGCCTGGTTCTTGAGCCATCACTTGCTGCCTCCCAAGTGCGTTAGCAGGAAGCCCATGGACACCAGTCTGGGATGTGGGCTTCCTGAGTGGGACCTTTACCCACTGCAGCACCCTCACTTGTAGACTCAAGGCTTTTAAAAACCCAGCTCTTGGAGCGCACTCATTTTCTAGGTATTTTCTCTGTGTCAGTGTGGTAGAAAGGGCACAGAGCTGAGATCTGCCCGCCCTGTAGTCTTGCACAGGTTTCCCTGTCTTCACGCTAAGGGAATTGGTTTGCTCTCTGCAGTCACTTCTGCCTTCTGGGACTTTCCAAGGAAATCCAGGTCCCCAGGGAACTAGCTGTCCGATGGAAAAACAGACCTCCACAGCCATCCTAGTTGCTTACCTTCCCAGGGACGGGATGCCATTCTTGGTTTGCTCCCAGGGATCAGGCACTGAGCACTTGGCCCATGCTGGACGTCAGCAATGTGAAGGGGTGTGGGGGGTGTTGGGTGGAGCCCTCTGCTTGCCGGCAGGGCTCCTGTCTTGGTGGGAGGGACCACGGTGGTCACAGATCCTGGTGGAGAGCTCTGCTGAGGTGGTTTTGCTGTGGGCTGGAGGAGCAGGAAGACCTGGGGGAGACGCTCTGTGACGTACGGTGGGGGTCCCTCCCAGTAAACCAGCCGTAATTGGAAGTACCCAAGGAATTGGTGCACCTAGCGCACTGATCACCGTGGCCCAGGGACGCGCCGGGTGTTTCCCTCGGCATCGTGGCGCTGAGCCGGTGCTCCGGCAGGGCTCAGCTCGCCTGGGAAAGCTCAGCCCTGATGGGCGGTTTCTACCAAGTGCACATTACTTTCCCACCCTCAGAAGGTCGAAGAATCCTCAGTGGGTCCCTCGCCCGTCAGGGACAGCCTGGGCCGAGCACCTCTGCAGGCAGAGTGGGGGCGGAGCTGAGGGGGCAGCGTCGGCCAGGGCCTCATTGTGGCCGCTCTGCCTGGGGACGTGATGAGGCTGTAGTTGGTGGCCGGCGCCAGCCTCGGGGGTTCCATGGCTGTGCTGAAGCGTCTTCTAAGAGCCCCTGGGTGGAGCTGAAGGGGCCCAAAGTGGGGAGGTCAAAAGCCCGATGGGTGCCGGAGCCCTGTAAGTGGATCCGAGCATGGCTGTATGGCTGCCCCGGGGCAGCAGCGTGATGGGCCGAGCCCAGCTCTGCGTTTCTAACACCTGCCTTGCTGCCCGCCTTCTTCAGGGCTCCCTGTGAACTTCAGCTTGGATCGTGCCATGGGGGCCGAGTACCTGGAGCGAGAGCCTTCCAAGCTGTACCCGAGCATGCATGCCTACTGCCCGTTCCCGCTGGGCTACCAGGATGTGGCCCCGCCCCCTGGGATCCCGCTGCAGACCGGCTTCCGGCACATCTCCTGCACCCAGTATCACGGAGGCAGCTTGGTGAGTCCTGTTCCTGGCTGCCTTCCAGGGCCTCCTACCCCAGTTGCCCTTGCCCTTATAGATCCTAAGTCATCACCGGGGCGGCCACTCGTGCCGAGCTCCCGTACCAGCAGGAGGGACACAGCCCTGAGCATGTGAGTGCGGTGGGTGTCTCTGAGAGCGCACGTGTGGACACTTCCAGGCCACTTGGCCCGGGCTGTGGCAGGTGCTTGCTCTGGGCACTTGGGCGACCACAAGCCCTGCCTGGTTGAGCACTGAGGGTGGAAAAGCTCTTCACTTTGCTGGGCACCAGGGACAGACGTCACTTCCCTGGGACTACAAGGTTTAAGGCAGAGCCAGGACCAGACATAGGTCCTCTGAACACAGGGAAAGAGCCCAGCTGAAACCTCGGAGGACATTCAGGAGGAGGTGGCATTTGAGCTGAAAATTCTGAAAACCTTCCTCCTGCAGATAGGAGTGAGATACAGTCCTCTTACCAGGGGGACGGACGCGGGTACCAGGTGCTCTCTTGGAGCCTGGGCTTCTGAACCGCACGCGTGTGAGAAGGGGCTCAGCCCTGCTGTGTGGAGCACGCGGCAGGAATGGCCAGGTTCCGCGGCCTCGGGTGCTGGCTGCTCCCAGGCCAGGGTGGTTTCCAGGCCACTCCGATTCGGCCATCTCAGAGGACCTGCAGGGCTGCAGCATGCCCAGAGGCCAGGACTGACTGTGGCTTCCTGGGCCTGTGGGACAGAGCGGTTGGTGGGAACAGGGACCACTGACACTGCCCCTGCAGGGGAGGGGGAGAGGAGTGAGGAGCGGGATTCAGGAGAGGCAAGCTTGGCATTTGAGGAAGGAAGTCACTGCCACAGAGCTTGGAGGGGTCCCTGGGGTCGCCGCCTTGCCCACCCTCCAGGCTCCCAGGGCAGTGCGCTTGCTCCAGCTCCACCCCAGCGTCTCCTCTGGCTGCTTCCGGTATCCTGGAGTTTGACTTAGCACTCGTTTCCCATTGATTCGAGGGGAAAACGTTTGACAACCGCTGGTCTTGATCATTCCCTGGGCGCCGGCCGGCCCTTTTATGAGCCTTCAAGGTGGGTGTCGGCACCCCATGGCAGAGTTGCCAGAAAAGGTTCGGACAAGTTAAGTTTCTGTCCAAGGTCATGGAACTGGGGGGTGAGGGACTGGGATTCACACGACACGGCTGGCTGGTGACGAGCCAGGATGCGTCCCTGGTCACCCTGACTCTGGCACTGGGCTCTCTTCTGCCCCAAACATGTCTCACGCAGAGGTGGGCAAGTGTGGCCCTGCATCCTAAGCACCACTGAAACCTGTGGGCACTCCTTCAGCCGCCCCATTGCAGGCCAGGGAAAGCAAGGGGTCTCTGGCCTCCACACAGAGAGGGCTCAGGCCAAGTGGGGCCCGCACCAGCTGCTCCCGCAGAAGCACAGGCCTGGCGTCCAGGGTGGGCTGTGATTGACAGGCCTGCCAGACGCCCTCGTTCCGAGTGTGATCCCAGCTGGTTATCTGGCCCCGAGCTGCTGCCACCGGCCCAGACAGGAGCTGCGATCCGGGGAGGGGTAGACTTGGCTGAGCAGCTTGGAATTAAAGCTCTAATGATCCACCCTCCCTCCCCGTCACGTCTGGAGAGAGGATCAGGCCTTTATTTGCGAGGCTGTTTCAAACCCGAGAGCCCAGGAGTTCCTCTCATCCTGTCCTGTCCTTGCCTCCGCCCCGTCCCTGTCCCTGGGCCCATCCCTGCCCTGCGTATCGCTGCGCTCCCTCTGGGCTCCTCTCCACAGCAGAGCACAGCCCTGGAGCTGGACAGCCCCAGGGTCAGTCCCCCCTCCCTGTCCACCAGCCCTGGGACCTGGGGATGCTCCCTGCCCTCTGTGGGATGGGTGGGAGCACCTGTCTCTCTGTGATACTGATTAACCAAGGTGTGACACCTGAAGACGCCTAATGCAGGGTCTGGCATGCAGTAGGTGTTTAAGAGTGGACTTTCGGTGCTTCCCTGTGGTCAAAATCAGGAAGCATTGGCGTAATCGAAGGAGATGTTTGCAAACCTCAGAGCCTTTAATAGGCTCCTGTGAGACCCTCAAGTGTGGCAAACAGTGTGGGAGTTCTTCAGACTCACTTGTCTGAGAACTTTTTTTTTTTTTTTAAGATTTATTTATTTATTTGAAAGGCAGAGAGAGAGGTCTTCCATCTGCTGGTTCACTCTCCAGATGGCCGCAACAGCTGGAGCTGGACTGATCTGAAGCCAATAGGAGCTTCTTCCAGGTCTCCCATGTGGGTGCGGGGCCCAAGGGCTTGGGCCATCTTCTACTGCTTTCCCAGGCCATAGCAGAATGCCAGACAGGAAATGGAGTAGCTGGGATTTGAACTGGCACCTAAATGGAATGCCTGTACTGCAGGTGGTGGCTTTACCCATTACGCCATAGCACTGCTCTGAGAATGGTTTTTTAAAACAAGGAATCCTCTAATTTATTTTCACTTTTTAAAAAATACTTTTCAAAGACAGAGAGAGAGAGAAATAGAGACAGATCTCCTATCCACTGGGTCACTCCTCAAATGCCCACAGCGGCCAGGGCTGGGTCCAGTCAAGGCAGGAGCCTGAGACTCAGCCTGGGTCTCTGAGTGGGTGGTGCAGGTGCAAGTCCTCCATCATGTGCTGCCCCTCCCACCCCACCCCCGGTGCTCTGGGCAGGCAGCTAGAATGGGGAGCAGACTCGCTCGGGACAGGCCCTCCAGTTATGTGACACAGGCATCCCAAGCAGCATCTTCACTGCTGTCCCTAAGAACGCTTTAACAACTTGAACTTGACAGTATCTTATAGGACCCTGGGGCTCCTTGACACCCAGCCTGGGCAGTGCTGCTCTCAAGTACCTGGACTGAGAAGTGAAAAGTGGAAACAGAACGTCCTTCGTGTCCTTACCACAGTCCCACCTTGCCCCAGTGGCTCCCGGCCCATGGCTGGGCCTGCAGTGCTGCCCTGGGCCAGTGTCTGTAGACGGAGGGACAGACACGGGCTGCTCTGTCTGTGGGCCTTTGGAGGTCACCCCGCCCCTTGCCTCTGTTAATGGATGTGCCACACACAGGACACCGACTTGTCCCTGCTATGCCCTTGTCCTTTGAGCTCAAGTCATGGTCCTGGGGCCAGCCCAGGGACCCTTGAACATGGAAGGTGTCCAGAGCCTCCCACAGCGCACAGCAGTGCAGCTCAGAGGTCAGCTGCCTGGGCTGTGGACTTGCACAGACGTGGGCTCGGCGTCTGTCTTTGCCACTCCCCAGCCCTGTGGCCTGGGCCCTCCGTTCTGTCTGACCGAATCTTCTCATCCTGTCGGGAACAGCTGTGGCACCTGCCTGTGTTGCTGCTTGTCCTTGATCACGTTCCGGTGTCTGCTTAACACCTCTCCCAGTGTTCTGGGCCAGAGGTGGCGCTGCCCAAAGGGGAGCCCCCACTTGGGAAATGACTGACCTTCTCGACGGGCCCTGGGGCTCACTGTCCCCCTCTGCCTCTCGGCCACACGTGCCACGCAGGTGTCGGAAGCAGTGGGAGAGTTCCAGTCCACCTTCTACCCACCGCCTGCCCCACCGCAGCCCCCGTTCCTCCCGCCGGGCTTCCTCTCAGCGCTCCACTTCCTGCCGCCACCTCCACCGCCGCCACCGTCGCCTTCCTTCTCGCTGACCATCCTGTCTGAGACAGAGAAGGAGAACCCTGGTGAGTGTGCCGGAATGTCTGGCTCTCTGGCCTTTCTGGAGGACTGGAGCCGGGTGGGGGGAGGGGCGGGGAGTGCAGAGTCTCCTGCATGCAGGACGTGACCAGGGGAGGTGGGAAGAGGAGCCAGGCGGAAACCCCAGCCCCCTGCGGTCCTGGAGGACGTGAAAGGCAGAGCTGGGACATGCAGAGTTCTTTGGCTTACTTCCTCATTGAACCAGCTCGGTTGCCCAGCATGTGGACGGGGGCTGCCTGTGCTGTGTCCAGAAGGCACAGGTGCCAGGCCTCTGGGCTTGAGTGTGACTTCTGCTTAGGCGCAGCACATGCTGAGCCTGGGACAGCAGCAGGAGCTGGCCTGGGGCAGCTGGGACTGGTCCCTGTGCCCCAGACCGCTCCGGCAGGGCTGTGGGCACTCATGTGTCAGTCTCTCAGCTGTAAGCAGTCCTCCGTGCAGGGTACTGAGGAGCTGGTAAAGCCGTGACTGTGAAAATACTCTGGGTTTTCCTTTTGAGGACCCTGGCTGCCTTGAAGGTTCTGGGACTTTCTTCCTTTTGGTCTTCCCCTGGGATGCCTGTGACTTGTAAAGGGCCGACACACTCGAGCATGGCCAGGACCATGTCATGAGCTGGGGCAGTCTGGTGATGTCATTCCCGTTTTATTGACGAGGAGACAGGGTTGTCGCACATTTGCTGTGTGTGTAGTGTGTCGCTCCGTTAGCTGGAGAGGTGTCCAGCGAGGCTTGAAGCGCTCTGGGCATGAGTCCCTGCTCCAGCTGGGTGACCTTGGGCAAGGCCATTCACTCCAGAGCGCCTCCGTTTCAACTGTGCAAAAGTGGGACCATGACAGTCCCTACTTCATGAGGTTATGCTGAGAACAAAATCGAATCTGGAGCTGATGAAGGCCTGAGTGGCAGATAGCAGTCACTGGGGTTTCACCTGCCCGTGCTGCCCCTGCCAGGGAGGTGCTGGCCCATTTTACAGAAGGGCAAGCCTCAGAGCTGTGGCGTGCCTTGCTTGATGCCGTCCGGCTCATGAGGGGCCACATTGGAGGTGCACCTGAGGGTGGACCATCTGGCCAGGGCTAGAATTCCAGGCTGCTGGCCCCAGGTACGTTCAAAGCGAATTCATACTCCGCAGGGACTGGGGGTGGAGATGAGGCTTCACCAGAAGTCTGCATCTGTAAGTGGGCCACTTGCCCCCCATCTCAGTGCAGCCGCCTTCTTTGTCTTCCACAGATGGGCAGGAGGCTGAGACCCCGGGAGAGGCCCGCCAGCTGGAGTCTGAGGAGCAGTCGGAATGAGCCCAGGCCTCTGGGCCAGCGTGGGGGTGGGGGCGGGGGTGGGGTGGGGGTGTCACAGTGTCTGGTGACAGAGAGGCTAGGCAGGAGACTGAAGCTGATTCTCGTCTCGAGGGAGGGGGGAGGAGGGTGATTTCTGGGATCTTGCAGCCCTGAGCTGTGCGTGGAGGGACCACCTGGGAGGGCCAGGCGCTGAGGAGTGGGGCTGTGGAAGCCCGTGTGTAGGAATGAATTTCACTGTCCCAGTGTGCTGCTGTTTATCGGACCAGCCCCGAATGGCGGGCTTTGATTTTCGCAGGCCCCACTCAGCACAGAAGGCACCATCTATTCCCGCCTTCTGCTGCCTTTTGCCTGGTCCCCAGGGGGCTGGAACACCACCGACATCAAGGCCAGCCCGAGCAGCCAAGGCCAAGGGCGCTGACAGCAGGCTCTGCAGCGTCCTGTCTTGCTGCTCTCTGTTCCTGGCCACTGCCCCTCCTCCTCCAGGGGGTTCGACCAGCCAGCATCCTGACCCCGGGGCCACTTCACTGCCCTCCATGAAGCTTAGTCCTTATAGGTACCGTTTCTGGTTTTAAGAAATCTAGTAGAGTTTGACTATTTGATGTTTTTATAGTAATTCTCAACTTCCAAAAGTAGGCTGCTCACAAGCACTGACACAGTTCTCAGAGAATAGGATGGCGCTTCTGAGTTGCCGGTGACGTCAGCAGTTTCTTCTCTGGGCGCAGACAGCTGTTGAAATAAAGCGAGCAGTGGAAAATCCTCATGGATGGTTTGTTCTCTCGTGCCCGTGGCAGGCTGCGTCAGGCAGGAGCCCGGCCTGGGCCCGACTGGCATCTGCCCTTGCTTGGGCGAGGCCCTTCCTGGTCTGCCTGCCCACAGCCTTGACCTTGGTTACCCAGCGGGAGAACTGGGCCAGGCTACTGCATTTCTCTATTCTTTATTGCTGTGATTAAACAGCGGAGACCTAGGGAAATCTCACGTGGACAAACAAAACATCAAAATTTCTTTTAGTTTTCCTTCTGGCTCCTGTCAAGGTGCCAGCGGGGGGAGGTGGTTCTACAAAACAGAACTTGATCCCATTCTGCTGGTTCAGGGCTCTGGGCCTCTTCCCTAAGAAACATCCCATGTTTCTCCTAGACTCAGACTGTGGCTGTCCCCAGCCCTGCCCTCCAGAACACGGACTCCAATCAGGGAGACACAGATAGTCTGATGGGACTGGTATAGGAGCTGTACGGGGGCCCTGGGGTGGCCAGACAGTGCTCAGCTGCATGGGAAAGGGCGAACAGGAGTGGAAGAACGAAGGAGAGAGGGGCAGCCCCACTAGAGGTGCATAAGGAGGGTGGGGGGCCTGGGGTGAGACGGCATCGGTTCTCTGTCCAGGGAAGAGCGAGAGCCCAGGAGCCAGTCTCCAGGAATTGGACAGTGCCTTCCCCAAATCCGCAGGGTGGGGGCGGGGTGCCCCTAATGGTGAACAGACCAATTGGGGTGCACAGCCCCAGCCTACTGGTCTTCAGGGAGGGCGGCCTGGAGAGAGGCCCCTGCTGGCCCTCCCTGTTCCCGAGGGTCGCCCACGGTCACTTAGCCTGTGTGGGTCAGTGGAGCTCTGCTCCCTGAAGCCTCTTCCCAACAGCAAGAGCTGCGGAAAACCAAGCCTGCTCACATGGCCGCGTACCCAAGGCCTGGACGGGTGGCACAGCCAGGCCCCGCAGGGAAGCACGGGAAACAGACGCACTAAGCGGGGAGAATTGGAAGGTGGCAGCTTCCCCGGCATCGGCATCGGCATCGGCATCGGGTGTCCTGGCCGGGCGCCGCCGGAAGGGGGCGGGGCCTGTTGCCTAGCGACCCAAGGCCCAGCGCTCGGGGCTGGAGCGTTTCCTGCAGCGTCGGGCTTGAAGCGCCCCCTGGAGATTTGGGATGTCCCTGGGAAGTCACGGTTTTGTGTCGGGCCACGCGTGAGCAATCTCAGCAAACCGTTTCTGCGCCGCGCTGCCTGGGGAAGGCGCGTGCAGCTGGTGCGGCCCCCGCTTGCTTCCCTCTCTGAGCTCTGCCGGTCGCCTTCCTGCATCCCCTGGTCATTGCCTGTCACTCCGGGGGAGGCCCCGCAGCGCCTGCCCAGCGCCTGCCCAGCTCCTGCCGCCCTCCGCGCGCCCGTGACCCACTGCGTGCGCAGATCCCTCCGTGGGGCTTGGCTAAGTGTGGTCCCGCAGTCATGCTGTGCCTGCTTCGAATGAGCTGATGGGGTTTGGGGCATCTTGTGGACTGGGGTGGCAGGTCACTCACTGCTCTGTCTGCTGGGACCTCCACAGGGGTCAGAAAACAGAGTGGGCCTCCATGGAATCAAACTGCCTACTCCGCGCGCCCTCTTTCCCTCATTCAGCCTGCTCCCTGGTCGCTAAAGGACGGTGACATCAGAGCCCCAGGCAGACATGCCACCCAGGGTGTGTCGAGGGCCACGGACATCCTGGGGCACCAGTTAGAGTTTTTAAAGACCTTTTTTACTTATTTGTAAGGCAGAGTGACAGGGAGCGAGATCTTCCATCTGCTGGTTCATTCCCCAAATGCTCGCAACAGCCAAGGGCTGGGCCAAGGTAGAGTCAGGAGCTAGAAGCTCCATCCAGGTCTCCTGGGTGAGTGGCCGAGACCCAAGCACTTGGGCTGTCATCCGCTGCCTCCCAGGGGCATTTGTGGGAAGCTGCATTGGAAGCAAAGAGTAGCTGGGACTCGAAGAAGACCCTTGGTCAGATAGGGGGTGCCTGCATCCCAAGCCCTGGCTTAATCGGCTGCACCACAGCACCTGCCCCCAGGGATTTTTTTTTTTTTCAGGCAGAGTGGACAGTGAGAGAGACAGAGAGAAAGGTCTTCCTTTTTCCATTCGTTCACCCCCCAATGGCTGCTGCGGCCGGCGCACCGCGCTGATCCGATGGCAGGAGCCAGGTGCTTCTCCTGGTCTCCCATGGGGTGCAGGGCCCAAGCACCTGGGCCATCTTCCACTGCACTCCCGGGCCACAGCAGAGAGCTGGCCTGGAAGAGGGGCAACCGGGACAGAATCTGGTGCCCTGACCGGGACTAGAACCCGGTGTGCCGGCGCCGCAAGGCGGAGGATTAGCCTAGTGAGCCGCAGCGCCGGCCGGGGATCTTTTTTTTTTTTTAAAGATTGATTTCACTTATTTGGAAGGGAGAGATACAGAGAGAAGGAGAGACAGACAGACAGAGAGAGAGCTTCCATCCTCCAGTTTATTCCCTAAATGGCCACAATGGCCAGGGCTATACCAGGCTGAAGTCAGGAGTCAGGAGCTTCTTCCAGGTTTCCCACGTAGGTGCAGGGGCCCAAGGACTTGAACCCTATTTTTGCTGCCCTCCCAGGTGCACTAGCAGGGAGCTGGATGGGAAGTGGAGCAGCCAGGACTGGAATCGGTGCCTATATTGGATGCCGGTGCTGTGGGTGGAGGCTTTACCTGCTGCACTTCAGCGCCAGCCCCAGAGTTTTGTTTTTGCTTTTGTTTATAATTTTAGGGCTTTTTAAAGATTTATTTATTTATTTGACAGGTAGAGTTATAGACAGTGAGAGAGAGAGAGACAGAGAGAAAGGTCTTCCTTCCGTTGGTTCACCCCCCAAATGGCCGCTACGGCTAGCGCTGCGCCAATCTGAAGCCGGGAGCCAGGTGCTTCCTCCTGGTCTCCCATGCGGGTGCTGGGGCCCAAGCACCTGGGCCATCCTCCACTGCCCTCCCGGGCCACAGCAGAGAGCTGGACTGGAAGAGGAGCAACCGGGACTAGAACCTGGCACCCATATGGGATGGCAGAGGATTAACCAAGTGAGCCACGGCGCCGGCCCCATACCCCAGAGTTTTATACCCGTGTTGTCTCGAGTTCACCCCGAGGTTCCTCAGACACAGAATGCACTCTGGTTTCTGGGGCAGTACCAGCACAGCACAGGGAGGGCGGCCTCTCCACTGACTACAGCGCACAGGGCTCCTCCCAGAGCTCACGTTGGCATGGGATGAGTCCCTGTGGGAAGAGCCCCCAGACCCCCAGGCATAACCTCCCTCTGGGAGGAGGGCGATCAACAACTCCTGCGGCCTGGCGTTGCCGTGAGCCCCACCGTGTGGACTGAGGTGGGCAGTGTGCCTGTCCGGTGGCCCAAGGGTGACAAAGGGGTGTGTGCGTGTCTCTTCAGCTCTTCCACCGTGATGTGCCCAGTGCTTCCTGGAGAATGAGCTCGGGATGGTCGGCACCCTCTTGGAGACAAAACAAGTCCTTCTGGGCCTGGAACGGTGGACGAGGTCCTGTCCCTGCAGCCCTGGGTACTCACACAGCTCCTCCCCCTCCTGAGCACGGAGGCTGTGGGGGTGGGGGCTGGTGGGCCCCTCCTGCTAGGGAGCTGCTGAAGAGACCCTGGAAACAGCCAGGCCTGCTCTCCTTGGCCAAGGCCCACGGCGCTTCCTACCTGTGTGCTCTGGGGTATCGGGAACCTTGCCCAGCCTCCCCTCGCCTCATGAGCCGAGGAGGCGAGAGCGCCTGGGTGAACCTGCTCCTCTGATGCCCCCTCCTGGCACACGGACGATGGCACCTGTGTGGGTGCGTGAATGCAGGTGTCCATCTGAGGCTGTGACAGCAGGATCCTGGGAGTCGCCATGACCCCCGGTGGTGGCTGTTTGCCTCCAGGTGCTCCCCGGTGCCAGGTGCGGTGCTGAGCGCTCACCACCCCTTCTGCCCGTGGATCTCACAGGCTGCCCCTCCAGGCAGCCACCAGCACCTCATCTTAACCGAGAGACAACCCGAGCCCACAGAGGTTGGGTTCTTGCCCTCGGCCGGGCTGTTTGCAAGTGGCAGAGCTGGGGTTAAGTTCGCGCTCCTCCGGAGACCAGAGCTAAATTCCTATGTGCCTTTGCTCTCTGACAGTCTTGGGGGAGTCGTGGTACCCCCGGGGTTGCTCCCCAGCTCTGTGGGTTCCAGCGCTGTGGACCAGCCTGGTATAAAGTGGAGCTAGCTCAGGTCTCATACAGGGAATGAGATCAGTTTTTAAAAAGACTTCCGAACTCCTTTCATTCTGTTAAGAAAAATGAGCAAGGAAGCATGGAGTTGATTTTTTTTTTGATGAGTATTAATAGTTTAGCAAAATGTAAGTCTCAGCCTTCTCACAAAGTGGATGATGAAGCTTCAGTATTCGTGCTTTTAACTCCAATATATCCTAGGAAGCAGTTTGATTTTTACCAAGATCATTTCTTTTCATGATCCCCTTTTTCATCTCTCTTCAGGCTTTTAGTTTTTGATGAAAAATAATTAGTTGCGAGTATAACTAATGCATACAATGTCAACAGTTTTGGAAGTGTGAGCCAGGAGTAGGGTTTCCCCCACCTCTGTCACCCTCATCCTTTGCCCCCCTCAAAAGCCACTGGCACGAGCAGGACCTTAATGCTGGTTCGAGCACCCGACTTATTCATATCCAGTTTCGCATTTTCCGCTGGAGTTTTGTATCCGGTTGGGATGTGGGTTCAGCTCATTTGTTGGCCCATGGATGTCTTGTGGCTCCAGCACCACACGTGTAGTCTTCCAGTGAATTTTATTTTTTTGGCAGCTTCTCTCTTTTGTTCCATTGATCTTTTTTTTTTTTTTTAAGATTTTTATTTATTTATTTGAAAGGCAGAGTTACAGAGAGGAAGAGGCAAAGAGAGAGAGATCTTCCATCCGCTGGCTCACTCCCCAAATGGCTGCAATGACCAGAGCTGGGCCAATCTGAAGCCAGGAGCCAGGAACTT